GCCCGCCCAGCACCGCCACGCCCACCGAGGAGCGGCGCGTGCTCATGCTGGCCACGGGCCGCCACACGCCCTCGCGCGCGTCCATCGCCTCCGCAGAGCTTAGCCCCGACGCTCCGTCAAATCTTAACATTTCATATTGGCGCGTTTGACTTTCAATATTGTAATTAAGGCATAAATTTTTTACTACCTTTTGTAATAGTTAAACAATCAATAAAAAGCACAGTTAAACTGACCCGCCGACGGCGTATATAACGTTGCCGATGACGGCCACACCGAGCGTGGAGCGTCGCGCGCACAGCGGCGGGCCCGGCGCCCACGTGTCCGCGCACGCGTCGTAGATGTCCACGCTGCGCACACGCAATGTACCTGCACACAGGTCAAATATTATAGTGCACAGTTTGCTAAATTAGATTTAAGGAAGATGTAAGTAACATAGTATATTACCGTTGAAGCCGCCGACTGCGTACAGCTTGCCTGCAACGACAGCGAGTCCGGCGCGACAGCGGCGCGTGGGCAGGTCCGCAGCACGCCGCCAGGCCCCCGCCTCCAGCTGCAGCGCCTCCACCGACCTGATCGCCTTGGGCGCCTGCCCGCCCACCACCAGCAACATCTGCACCGCACCAAACAACATTACTTGATACTGAACTCAGGGTCACTATGGAGCCCCTCAGCGTACATTTGTTATAAGAAATTTATATTAAGAGAATGTTGATACCACAGATATACCTTAGGAGCGCGCGGTGGCTGTCTGGGACGTGCGCGTGCGCAGGCTGCGGCGGCGGCTGCGCGTCGCTCCGGGCGCAGCAGATGGAATGACAGCGCCTCGATCACCAGGTCCTGGAATATCAGTAAATACATATGTTTTTTTTTTGGTGGATTGTTTTCATTTATCTATCTTGTTTAGGTTAGGAAAAAGATATTTTCTTCTATCCTTGGATACCCTGACTAATGCTATTGGATTCAGGTATTGCTGTGGTGTGTCATGTGTCGGTGTGATGTGTCACCTTGACGCGCAGTCCAGCGCCGGCGAGGGGCTCCGCGGCGGCGCGTGCAACGAGCACGTCGCGTGCCAGCAGTGGCAGCCGGACGTGCTCCAGCAGCGCGCCCAGGTGTTGCTGACGTTCCTACAACAACAACATTGTGATTACTACGTTCAAAAATGAAAAATTACCAATATATATTGTTGTCTCAGTTTTATACAAAAGGATAGAAAGAGATGACAATATATGTCGATAAGTATCAATGTCGTCAAAACTCAGAATAAATAAATTTGTTTGTTACAAACCTCTGGATTGTGCTGCATCCATCTGATCACCGCGTCCAAAACTACTTCCTCGTTCGGAACCTGACAAATAAGATTATTTTTTATAATTTTAACAAATGAAAATCGAAATAAATTATTAAAAAATCTTGCTAATATTATAAATGCAAATGTTTAGATGGATGGATGATGATGAGGCAGATATGTAGAACATAGACTGAAAGGCACATAGGCTACTTATTAAATGTTTTTTTTTAGTTTCACGCGGATGGAGTCGCGGGCGACAGTTAGTAGAAATGAAACAAAAAATACAAACCATAATTCGGTCGCTATCCAGAAGCTGTGCCAAGGTTTCCGCAGTCAGGGATAGAAACTCTTCAGTTTCCAGAACCTAAGAACATTAATATACATGTAATATATCAGATTTCAAATCAATTAATTAATTGTACTATACAATCTAATAGAAAAATCGACTACCGTCATTAATCCATACGTTTTACCTCAAAAAGTATCAAAACAAATGTTACCACAATAAAGTATACACTTGTCGCCTCAAGTAACATGTGTATAATTACACATGTTACCTAAACAAAGCATAAAGGTATTACATCAACAAAGTATACAAGTGTTACCTCAACAAAGTATACACGTGTTACATATACAAAGTATACATGTGTTACATCAACAAAGTATACAAGTGTTACCTCAACAAAGTATACACGTGTTACATATACAAAGTATACATGTGTTACATAAACAAAGTATACATATGTTACCTCAACAAAGTGTCTGTGCACATATCTGGCCGCGCAGTCTTTGAGGTCCTGGCAGGCGTGCAGCTCAGCGAAGGCGCGGATGCCGAGCGCGTTGTCCGGCGCCAGCACGCTCGCCAGGAAGGTGCAGCACGCCGCGCGCACCCCCGACACTTGCAGCAGTGATGATGCTGACAGCAAGCTCTGACACAAACAAAACAGATAAGGTTGGAAACGAGCGAGCCATGACATCAATTCGCAGAAATAGCGAAGCAACCGCTGCCTATAGACATATGCTATAGCAGATGCATTGTCTACCTTTAATATTTGAGGAAGGGACGCACAGAAATAGGATATTTCTTCTACCTGTGCGTCCCCTTCTTCGTGCAATTCAATTGATCTTCCCATCCTTTCCTGATAAGAAAAGGGTGGGAAGGGAAGAAGACTAAAATTAGACCTCCGGAACACACACTTGTCAGATTGTATTTGAAATTGCTTCTACTTTGGTCTTCTGTGGTTGTGGTATTTTACAGATCAAGTTGGTCTGTTCATGCACAAGATGTTGTGTTGTTAAATATGAAATTACCTGGACATTATCTTCTGTGATGACCAATGACTTTGGATTGTAGACATAATGTATGATAACTTCTAGAGCAATTGGTTCTATATTCTGAAAACATATTTACTATTAATAGGAGAAATAATGGATAATCTTAATATTTAGTAGTTTTTTTTATACATAAACATATACTATTGCATATGCGTTGCCTTCCTTTAATCGACGGAGGAGAGGATGCACAGAAAGAAAATTTCTTTCCTTTCCATGCAACCTCTCATCGGGAAAGTCCACTTCCACTTCCCATCTTTTCCTCATAAGAAAAAGGGAGGGAAGGGAAAGAGGACTTAATTAGGCCTCTGGGATGCACACTCATCAGGAAACGCGGAATTACTTCCACTTGATACCTGTCTTCTGTGTGATCATGGCATTTCCACGGGCGAGCCGAGACAATTCATGCGGAGATGTTAAAGCGGGCTCTACCACTGCATTTACTTTGTAAATATGATAAAAACTAACCTCTTCCTTCTCATTATTGAATAGGTTACATGAAACATCAATTGTGTAATCTTGCTAATATTATAAATACAAATATTTAGATAGATGGACATTTATTACAAAGTATCTGCAAAACGGCAGCATGAATATGCATGCATGGAAGAACACATAGGCTACTAATAACATTTTATTTTTAATTCTACATTGTACATACTTGTATGGTGACAGCTTCCTGTGTACGCTCGTCGAACTGTGTGAACATAGCGCGGAAGTAGGGTGAGCAGGCGGCCAGCACAGCGCGGTGCGCCCACACGCCCTGCGCAGGCTCTGCCGCGCCCTCCGCCTGCGCCTAATACATATGAAAAGTGAATCACTCTTAGAAACTGAAGCTACTTTACCTTGGATTAAACTATAAACTGGGTTTCGCTAACTCGAAGAAGGCATATGTATTTAAACTCTTTTCAGATATCTTTGTGGCTAAAGTTAATCGACAGCGCTGCGAAGTACCCTTGCCCGCATCACATCAATGATTCGCACAAAGTGAAGAGCCGTCAATATATCTGAAAACATTTGTACCTGCAATCGGACATCACACAGTGTCGCATCACATCGTAGTCGGGAGAGCGCATCTAGGAGAGCGGTGGCGTGCCGCGCGCCCATAGCCCCCTCCCCCATCTCGCCCGCATCACCTCCCGCGCGTCGCTGCGATGACTCGTCCAGTGACGACTGCGAGGCACAACGAGCTAGCATGCTGCACATAATACACCAAATACCAATCAAAATTAACTATTATTGTAACTCGAATCTTTAGCTAAAACTAATTTTAAGAACAATATGTGATAAACAATGCTGATAGTACATTTAGTTAAGAGTGCATGTTAATTGTTTATTTCATAAATGTATTCTTTTAATTTCGTTATTATGAAAAAAAACCCTAAACCATAGACTTAATACAATTTATGCTAAATCCAGCAGATACTACTCGATTACCATAATATTTTTAACTAATTTACCGGGACTTAGTCCAGCGGCAATAAAAAAGCAGGAATAAATATAGCTAATATCACCCGGAGATAGTAAAAGAATTTTTCGGATTGGTTCAATAGTATCAGACACTATCTAATGCAAAGAAATCTTTAGACTGAATAATATTGTATAGATAAAACACTTTATATAATGTAATTATACAACATTAGCTACCATTATTATAGATTTTAAATAATATTGTTAATATTTACCTGTATCTGCCTCTATCACCATCTCCTTCCGCAGTACTGGGATCCTCCCTGCACAGTTAACAGAACATGATCTAAAATATATTTTAACAAATTTTCTTATTTATTGCCAACATATTAGTGCTGGGATTATAAAAGAACTAGATTTAACTTTTTATACAGAAATTATACAGTCTACAAATCAGTAATTGAAGAAGTTGTTTTCCAAATAAAACTTCACTTTTTCTCAAAGTTAATGTTTTAAAGCATCTAATATCCAGTTGTCTTGCTTCCAATAAGAGAATTAGGATATTAAACTGTACATTACATTCTGCTTTTTGAGTGGAAGAATACATCTCTTAGATATTAATTCTTTATTCTTTCACAAATTAGAGCTTCAAATAAGGATAAGTATATTGGTCCGCGAATGTTAGGGAACTGATGTACTCGAAAATAACAAAGAAAAGACGAAGGCAAATACTTTATAATAACTTACAGCCCTCGTTCACCATCGGGGTCTACGTTGCCTTCCATCTCGTAGACTAAGTACTATGTGTTGGGTGGACACCACAATCTAGCTAAATCTAAAATATACAGCTACTTTACACTAGACATCTGGTAGCTTCAATTCGCTACAGAAAATATTTAACATCACTTTACCTTTCACTTTTAAGTATAAAATAATTTTAACTACAAGATGAAAACATTGTTAGTGTTTATTTTTCATTTTTCATGAATATCTATCAATAAAAACAAATTATAACGACAAAAATATCAACATTTGACAAATTGTAAATGTCACAATTTCGCAACGAGATTATTTCCATAGACAATAAAATAGGGTAGATTCTTATGCTCTGTGGACACCTTGAATTTTCGTTACTTTATTTTCATCAAAATTTTATGTAATAAAAATGCTTATCATATATTTGGTTATTGGTATTAGGAATATCCATATATTATTTCTAACTATTATAACCCTTAGTGTTATGAACAGGCTATGCAGCCATCAATTAAGCAATGACGAAGTTTTTCCATTGTTGTCAGCAAAATTAGTTTTCCCTATAGTTAAAGTTTTATTTCAAAGTCAGTAAAAAAAAGTAATTTAAAAGTGTAAAGTGCCGGCCGCCTTACATAACGATTTCATCTCATTTCTTTCTTGCCGTTAGGAAGCTTACATCTTTGCTATTAAGTCGCGTTAGGCGCACATCATTTAAATAAGAAAATAACTCAGTTCATAAATTACAATGAATAAACCCGTTTCAGAAAATTATTTATTTATTTAATCTTATATTATTAGGTACTTATTTTAAGTTAACGTGCTGATAGTCATTAGTCTCTTTCAACGAAAACTTGAACAAAAGATCAATTTTAATTCGGACGAGGCTCACTAAATTTGGTTGAAGCTGAAATGAAGGTTGAAAGACATTAAATATATAAGTCGATTGTTAAATAAAGAGACAGGGTACACCTACTGCTAGTCATAAATATGCCTTGTGATCATTTGGTGTAAATCATCAAAATAAGGGATTTGAATTGTCGCCATCGATCAGTATTTAGTTTCGTCACAAACAAAGGCGCAGATAGTGCCCCTAGCGATAGGGCGCACGGTAGAGCTGGCAAATGCTCCATGGTGCGCAATTCCAACGCCCCGTGCTCCCCGGCAGCCGCTCACGGGAACACGCCGAAACAAAGAACGTCGTTGCAACGCAAGTCGCCCTACGCAGTTTATTACATATTTTAATCTGTTTGCATACGCCTTGAACTTGATTTTTAAAAAGGAAAACATTATATAATATAATACCATAGATTTACAATTTATTAGATGACGCCCGTGACTCCATGCGGGTGGAATTAAAAAAAAATTAGCACCGTATATGTTCTTCCAGACTATGTTCTACATGTACACCAAATTTTATCGAGATCCGTAAATGTGTTGCAAATTACAATAATGAAGGATTTACCAGGAAAACCTTCTAGGGTGGACTTTTTTCTGCCTCACTTTTGTGTTTCGGATTATGTTAGGTTAGGTTAGATATCTATGACTAATATATTCCTAAGTAACTGATTAAGTTAAGTTAAGGAATACATATTCACGCCACAGACATATGCGGTAATTATTGATTTCCAAGGAACTCTATGTTGAAAAGTTGCTAGACTAAGTACGTATATTTGGTGTTTGCTATGGATTTACCTATCTATATCTAGAACCATCCCTATTCCGGTGCGTGCGGTGCAGCGGCGTAGCGGCCGGAGACTGCGGGGTTCGAGCAGGGGAGGGAGAATAGAGGGCAATCGATCTCAAACAGCTGTGCGCAGTGGCGGTACTGATATTATTATTTAATCTATGACAACTAATTAATAAGTATCAAAGAGTATTGATTGAAAATGATTTGAATATTAACATAATTTTCTTTTTTATACGAAGAATGTTTTTAGTATTTACGGCTTGGAATTGTGTACGTTTTAAATATGCTGAAGGGCTTGCAAGGGCGCATGTAACTGAGCGTTGTAAGGGGCGGGTGGCGCCCAGCTGATTTTGACTGTTGCTAGGCGGGTGCAGGGTGTCGGTGTCGGTGGCGTGGGGGCAGGCGGGCAGGGGAGATGAGGCCCATTATAACCACGGGCGGCTCAGCACAGCTTATGAATATGCATGTTGAAGTATACTTTTTTGTGACGTCAATCTCAGAAATTAACGCGCTATGGTAATGATGCATGCATTTTTCACAGTTCTCAAGGACAATATGTTTCTTATTTATATCCGGAATCAAAATCAGCCAGTACTTCAGTTCTTTGTTGCAGCTGGAATTCATTGTGGAGGTTATACTTTATGCCTGTTTTAGATAAATATGATTGGGTATTCCGTTGTGTTATTTTTGCAATTGTTTTTAACTTGTATCAATCTATTTTTCATGCAATTTTTACTTTGGCTTGTTACGACCTCATTGAGATTGACAAAAGCCTCGAAGCAACTTCATCATCATCATCAGCTCACTATACGTTCCCACAAAGGGACTCGGTGCCGACCCTAAGTTTTAGGGTGATTAGGCCATAGTCAACCGCGCTGGCCAATTGCGGCTTGGTTGACTTCACACATATCATTGAATTTCTTCTCAGACATGTGCAGGTTGCATCACGATGTTTTCCTTCACCGTAAGAACGATGGAAAAATGTACATATGTAAATCGGAAATCGAAAAACACATTGGTACATGGCAACTTATCTATCCACTTTATGCAACTATTACTTTGAGTGACTTCCTATAGTACCCACTGCTGACTTACAATAAGAACATTCAATTTGTAGGATATCTTTGTAGGATAGGTCGAAGTTGAATTTTTAGATCCAGTTCAGTTTTAGGGACTTGTCACTGCGTGCGTGTAACAAACTGTGAATAGCTCAACTGCACAGTGTTTTATGATTGTGAATGAGATTATATAACTCACAAGTGTGAATAGTGACAGTTACATCTACCTTACTCAACTTTAAATACGTTTGTTAACGTAAAATGAATATGAAATGTAGTAGACGTTCGGTTTAGGTCGGTGCCCAAGTACTCATTTTAATGACACTGCTCTTAAAGCTTGATCATTAGAAAGTAAGTCTTTGAACATGGATTCCGGGTTCGATTTTCAGTTGAAACAAAATGTTTGTGTTATAGATATTTTTCTTGTTGATGTGATTATGTCCAATATGTGTAATGCTTTTCATTCGTAGTCGAAGTGAGGGATCTTTTCTGAGCGTAGTCCGATGTAGGCATTAGTCGGGCGCAGTTTGCCTACGCAGTTTGCTTCAGCCGCTATATGACAATGTACTGTAAATCGACTTGCAGGATATCATCATATAACTGAGGATGTATGTGTGCCGTTAGCACTGGTTTATAAAGCAATAAGGAAATAAATATTGTATTTGTAGATTGAGGAATGCGTTGTTGATTCGTTTATTTGTGTGAGCGGCGCGAGCGAGAGCGAGGGTAAGCGTGCGAGGGAGCGGCGCGCCGCGGGCGAGCGGCGTGCGGCGAGCGGTCCGGGGCGTCAGCGAGCGCGGCGGCAGCTGGTGCGCGCGGCGTGGGGCGCCGGCCCGGGGCGGCGGGCGGCGGGTGGCGGCGGGGCGCGGCCGGCGGCGAGCGGCGCGCCAGCGGGCTCAGTGCGCCGCCCGCTGGCCCGCGCGCCGCCCGCTGCCAGCCCCAGCTGCCAGCCCGCGCGCCCCCGCTACCATGGAGCACTTCATTGAGACCGTGCGTAGGTACCCCTGCCTGTGGAACACCACTGCCATCGAGTACCGCGACCAGGAGCTCAAGGACGCGGCATGGAGCGAGGTGATGAAGGAGACCGACTTGTCGTCAGGTGAGATCGCTGCTACCTGCCTGCCGCCGGCACCGCACCCCTCTTGCCCCCGCGCTCACGCGCGTCCGGCCGTTGCGAGCGCGCGCCGACCGCGCCCGGCCGCCCCGCGCGCCCCTCAGCCCCCTGCGCCGACCCGCGCCGCGCTGCGTTCACCGACCGAACGGACGCCCCATACCGACGCTTCGTAATATCGCCTATGCGATGTTACGTTATATTACTACAATGCTCATTGTTTCATTTCTTTTCAATTACGCAATTTATTTATCGTAACACGTAGAAATGTTACATTACTACTGAATTGTATTTTATACTTTTCAATAATGTACAAATCGTTATCGTTACACATTGCCGGCACACTGTGCTCAGGTGATCGATAGCGCAACCAGGAACTGATGATTTTGTCCCTGAAGGCAGGGAATATCCAATGGTCGAAATATCTGATCACTTTCGCTGCACACGTCTTATAATCTACCACATAATTAGTTCTAATTATATACCTCTTTACCTAATTAACCGTTGGTTTCTTAGACCAAAATCTCTGTATGAAATATATCGTCATCTTTGTCAAAACAGACTTCACAATATGTTTTAAACAGGTATTTTGCCCTCAGAAATCCACGATTAGTAGTTTATTACAGTTTTTATTGAACTATAATAATATAATTAACCTAACATCATAACTTATGTAATGTTAACAGCGAATATTATAAATTTACATAATTATGCGGCAGCGTTTGGCCTTGACCGCGACTCGGAAAGCGAACCTATGCGATAGGGCTGCTACAGCTGTTTATATTGCAGATGCGTTGTATTTGTTCATGGTATTTATATAGGTATATTTATTTTAGGATATTTTCCGTTACACATCCTTATTTACTATAATATAATGTAAATAAATTAATTTATTAAAATTGGATATTAACATAAGAACCTTCTTTCCATTTTTCGGTCTTTTTAATACAAAAGTGGGAATAAAAGTAAAGTTCAATGAGTAATTGCATTGGACCAATAACTAATAAAGGTATGGTTATTAGACAGCCCTGGATGAGAGGAATATCTAAATTGTCAACTCACAATATTTACTCATTCTAGCCATCGCGGACGTGTCTTTGTAATAAATATGAAACAAAATAAAAATCTTTTTGAATTTCCATAAATATTACTAATATTATCTCTTGTGTATGTCAAATGCATCAAAGTTTATAAGTAAATCGTCTTTGTTAAGATACATTTTATTATTTTCAGTGAAAGAAGTGAAGATGAAATGGAAGAAACTGCGCGACAGCTACCGAGACGCGTTGAAACGCGAAATGCTGGCCAAGGAGCCCAATAACACAGCCAAGAAGAACTACCCCTGGAAATATATGGGACCGATGCAGTTCCTGCAACCACATATGAGCGTGCGCAAGAAGCCGCCAGAGCCCTACCCCGCTCCACCCGAGTCTGCGCACAACGGTGCGGAGCCCCACTCCTCTGAAGAGTCCGAGTCGGAGGCAGACAATGATTCCTCCGCGAAACGCAAGGGCTCCGTACGTCTGGCCGCCATAGACAGAAAGCTGGACTATTTGTGCAAGGCGCAAAGCAAGCGGCAGTTCACCGAAGCGCACCTTCATGAACGCGGCCGCCCCCCGCCAGCCGCGCCTGATCCTCTTGACATATTCTTCAACAGCATGTGTCAATCGACGAAGCGGTTCCCGTACCCGACGCAAATTAAGATAAAGCGTACGCTGTTCGAGGCGGTGGTTGCAGCCGAAGAGGCGCTAGTTGCGGAGCAGCAGAGCTACGCTAGTTTGTGGGCGCGCGGCGCTGGCAGTTCCTCCACCAGCTCGGATGGTGGGGAGGGCGCGGAGGGCGATGTCGAGGGAGGGGAGCGCCGACCCTCCTGAGCCGCGTTGTACCGCTGGCTGTACCCGCTGTACGACAGCTACGCGCACTACGTCGCCGCCACCGCGAGCCCCTCACGCCCCGCGCACCCTGCACGCCCTGCATCGCGCGGCGCAATCTGATGCGAGGACCATTTACCCCACCAACACATTACGCTCTAAATTAGTGTAGTCCCAGCGTGGACAAAATCTCATCATTCAAATCTCATTAGCAATAATTAAATGTTATATTAAGTAAGATAAGACAAATCACCCGGGATGGCTTGTTGGTGTTCAGTTAAATTCCTGTATTATAACAACACAGCAGGCCACATGTGGAAAGTAAAATGAATGTATGGTTGTAATTTAAGGGTATTTATGTATGATATGTTATTACTAATGTAGTATTATTAATAATAGTATACTATTATAGTATTAATAATAATATGAAAGTGTAGTATTACGTGATAATATTAAATAACTGAGGTCCTATTAGGTAGGTAGTCGCTAGCACAGCGCCAAAAAATTTCGAATTAATTTTTAGAATAGGCCATGTTGGTCAAAACATGTCATTAAAGTAAATGAAAATGATATTAAATAATTTGAATATTGTGATACAATGTCAATATGTTCACGAGGCAATAATTCTATCGAGTATTACCGCTGTTTATATTAGTACCCACTAGCCCACGTACGTCCACTATTGTTCACTCGTGGGCGAGTGGACAATCGTCGCCTAAACACATCGACTGAATTTATAATTAAGATTGTATTCGTAAGTAATTGGAATATACTATGTGGGTCTTGTGAGTTTACATTTTTCCAGTTGTAATCCAGCGCTGATTTCGTCGCTGGAATAACGTGAACCGGACAGTATATTTCTTAAAGATGAAAATAAACAGATTATACATTGTATGAGCTTGGTTTTTGTTTTATTGAATTCTTATTTTTGTAATCCTTTATACAATCACTAGCTGTCGCCCGCGACTCGGTCCGCGAGCAATTAAAAAAAACTATTGGTCGCAGCGTAATGTTATATAACCTTAAGCCTTCCTTTATAAATGGACTATCCAACAAAAACATGTTTTTCAAATCGGACCAGTAGTTCCTGAGATTAGCGCGTTTAAACAAACTCTTCCGCTTTTTAATATTAGTATAGATTTCATCTCTTAATATTTGATACAATCTTTCCAATATTATAAATGCGAAAGTTTAGATGGATGGATGTTTGTTACAAGGTATTTCCGAAACGGCTCAACGCTTCTTGATTTGGCAAATGTAGAACAGTCTGGAAGAACAGATAGGCTTCATGAAGGAATTAAGTTTTTTTTTAAATTCCAGCCAGACGAAGTCGCGGATGACAACTAGTGATTATACACAATCGAAATAAGACAAAAGCTATATTCTGAATAATTTATACCTACGGTTAGCAAAATAAGAAGAATAAGAGATAAAACTGCTAAACCACTAAACGTAAATGTCGATTTAATTCTGCAGCTTAAATATAAGTATACGTCACAAACTTTGGTCTTTACAATACTGGCAACATTCAACTCGCTTCGATCTCAAGTCTATATGTCATATGTTGAGACCAGTTTCAACATATGACATATAGACTTGAGTTATATATAATATATCATTAAAATTAAAGCTATTTTTAACTTAAAAGGGAAACGACGCATACACAAACACGGCAGGTAGGGCATTTAATGGGTCCCCGGTTCAAAACTCGGTCGCGTCTTTCAACCGCCGCCCATCCTGTTTACTGCACTAAACTAAAAGATCAGCTGATCGTAAGATTCTTGGAAATCCTAGGAGACAGAAGTGTCGATTAAAAAAGAACCTTAACAGTTAAGAGTTAGAGTAGATTATTCTTTGTTGATTTTTCTTGGTCGCATACCGTTAATAGTTCCCGGTAGTTACAACAGCTGTTTTCTGTCAAAGGAAACATATGTTCGTTGGGGTTGTGTGCGTGCCCGCTTGTCCGTAGTCTCAGGTTCGCAGAAAACGAATGGCGCACTTTTTACATTTCCTATTTTTTTTCTGGTCATCTGCTAAAAGCCGTTAGACTGCAACACAAGGTTATGGGATGTTGGTAATTAATTTGTGACAGAAGGGACAAGAATTTTTTCTTATTCATTCATTTATCTTTTAGTGTCGTATAACATCGCTTCAACGTATAATTTTCCTAACAGAACATTTTCTCTGAAGGTAATTCGTATAAACTATGCTGACTAGGCAACGCTGAGTCACTGACTGCTTATTACTGCCGACTAAAACGAAAGCCCTTCGCTTCATTCCTTCATATTTCACTTCACAACTCTTCCAACATTGGACGTTATTAATGAAAACAGAGTTTGTGGTTACAGGTAAGTTTGTGATAATGAATACATAGTTTTTATAATAAACCTAACGTTATCTTCAATTTTTTTTTCTTTTTTTTTGTAAAATATTAGCAGTTTTTTTTGCAAATTTACTAATATTTCTTTAACCATTCCAACTAAGCTCTAGGCTTGTGCTAGGATATGGTTAACGACAATAGTCGAATGGCGGGATTCGAACCCCCGACCTCGTGGTCGGAAATCCGAATATTATAAGTTCTTAACGACATTTTCAATAATTAAGATTAATTGGAACTGGGGGGTTAGACAAAGTGCATTCGATCCGAAGAGAAGCCGAACTTCATAAAAGGAACTTACAAAATCTTTCAAAAGTCACATGATTGTCGCGCAATTGTGTCAAAATGTTCATACATTTTTGAAGTTCGCTATGGAATCGCTTCAAAGCAAACGCGTCTAACCCTATATAAGACCGCTGGTCGAGAAACTGAGACAGATATGTCATAATCGTCTAAAAACTACAGCAGAAATCGTCTTGTAACTTATCCCTGTCGTTAATTAAAAACATTTAAAAAGTATGGTAATTTTTGGTAATTCGTTGGTTTCTGAGACCAAAATATCTGTATGAAACATATATTTGATAAAATAGACATAGCTATATGTTTTAAACGGAAATTATGGTCTCAGAAAACGACGGTAAGTAAACTCTAAGACTATTAAACGATTCTATTACTATTTCTAACCTAAATTGTCCAGAAAAATCAAAATCTTTACTATGTAAAATCATATATGATTTTGACACTAGCTTCGACTTAGCGAATTTATAAATTCGCTAAGTCGAAGCTAGTGTCAGTTTACATATACCTACTTATTAACATATCTATTACGTTTAAATAAATAGCCGAACGTGCCTCTTAAAGGCGATAGCACATAAATTTCGTAGACATCAATCTGGGCGAGTCGTGTTGCTCGTAAAACGTAAAAATGATGCCAATTTACGATAAAAAGCTGATGCGCCTCGCAATCTGTGAGATCGCAGCACTTTATTGCCGGGAGTCCTTAGCAACCCTCCTCGTGTAGTCTACAACCCTCCAAGGACTGAGTGTATGTCTCACCCTTATATTTTACCTACTAATTGAAAGTAATTGCAATGCCATATGTGAAAAAAAATGTAAAATGTCAAACAGTTTTTCATTTATTTTACTGCAAATATTTGGCCATTCTACCGACTCATTATTACTATCTAGCCAACCGTTTAGGAACATTTTTAGAACAAAAATATGGATGTAAAAAATAATTTAAAACATAGCTGTTGCTAGCATTGCTTATAATGTACAACAAGCTTTTTGATCGTGCGAATTTATTGCATAACTTTGAGAATTGTAAAGACGAGAGAGCTTTTAAAAAGTGCCGTAAAAAGCGCTAACTACAGCCCAGCGTATATTAATAAAACTTCTCCGCCTAAAGAATGGCTTTATTCAATTAGCTGTGGGGGTAACACTCCCCTCTTTTTCTTGAATAACGGCCTTGCCTTAAGGGTGTTTGGATTATATCATATTTCTACAAGTGCGATAATATTATGACTTAAATATTTAAAGGAAAATGCTCGTTATATCCGCTTTATAACTGACAAGCTGTTTCCCACGACGCCGTCAGTATGAAATAAACAAAAAAAATAGTAGCATATGTGTTCTTCCGGACTATGTTCTACATCTATGCCAAATTACAGCGAGATCCATGCAGTCGTTCTGGAGATATCGTCTAACAAACATCCATCCATTTAAACATTCGCATAATATTAGGAGTCGGTGGCTCAGGGGTCAAGCACTTGACTTGCAATCTGCAGGTACTGGGTTCGAATCCCGCCATGTACCAATGTGTTTTTCGATTTCTGATTTACATATGTACATTTATCCGACATTCTTACTGTGAAGGAAAACATCGTGATGCAACCTGCACATATCTGAGAAGAAATTCAAAGATATGTGTGAAGTTAACCAACCCGCACTTGGCCAGCGTGGTTGACTATGGCCTAGTCACCCGTAACTTAGGGTAGGCTCCGAGCCCCTCGGTGGGGACGTATAGTGAGCTGATGATGATGATGATTATAATAATAGTAAGATTACATTTGAATCTCTGAGACAGAGGAAAGCGCTTGCACCAGCTAGTTTTATAACAGTGACATTTTTATTCAGCTTATAACAATCTCATGAATAATTTGCCGTCGGTTGGATCATAAAATGTTTACTGCCTCACAAGTGGGCTCGATGTTTGCGATGAGATCTGCTATACTTTTATGTCTTCATAACATCAGGCGTTTCTGCACACTAAAAAAGAATTGCTTCCAAATCCTACCATTGCCTTTTCACTATGCAATTTCTACCGTATTTTACGTACAGTATACGTTACTTCTAGTAGTACATTTCTTTGTTGTATATTATCTATCTATATACTATGGTATTGAAAATCTTCCTATTTTTGAGTACATCAAAAATGCTATGAAAACATTAGCAATCGAATCTGTCGTCTAACAGAGTTTGATTTGATTTGCACATTTATATAGAGCAGTATTTTATTATGAAATTTCAAACTGCGAATCTCATATCAAAACTGTACATTAAAAACAACTACCGAAAATAAACCGATGGAAAAAACTCGAGTCGCTCCGCGCCCGTCCGAGCCCAATCGATACGATACCCGACGACGTGGAATTTATAAAACTGGCCGACCGTCATCGGACAGGGCGTCTGCGCTCTTGCTTGCTCACGTGCTTCCGCGACTGACTCGCTCACTCTTACGCCCGCACCGTGAGAGCGAGCGAGACATGCATGTTTGCGCGCTTACTTCCCGCTGCGCGTGTCTGTTTGCCGTTATGCGCGTTGCCGTGTTTGCTCCGCGCTCTCGTTGCGATGTGACGTGTTCTTATTTATTTATTTGAAGTAGGCGGATTTTGTTAAGCAAACAACTACTGTAGCAAAGAATTTCATAGTGATTTTGCTCTTTCGGTCACGGTTTATAGGTCTAAAATCAGTTCTATTGTGGTTTGAAATCTCAATGCGATTGCGGCAAAGAGTAAACATGTCAAAGAAAGCACAAGCTGTAGACACGACAGTTTTGAACAAGACAATGATTGTCGGTAAATTTGTCGATTCTAGTCAAGCTGAAGATCGTAAAATGATTCGACTTGTGAAAGAAAGAAGATTATTGTATGCACGAAATAATATGCCCGTAGCCAGTTATTACACGCAAGTAAAACGCCTCTGGGAAGAGGTTGCAAACGAAATGGGATGGATTGGTATTACCTTTATTATGTATTACTTTAGTATTTGTTAACGATCTTTCTAGATTTAGCTTATTTATCTTTTATTTACCTTTCAGTTCCAGAGGTACGTAGGAAATGGTCGCACATTCGCAATTCATATTCGCGACATTTAAGAAACGAGATGCAAGGCGCGCGGACGGGCAAAGGCCGGATGGTGTCGAGGTGGTACCTGGCTGACGAGTTGGAGTTCCTTAGGGAACATATGGCTACTGATACGTAAGCATAACGTTTAATAAAATATACATTTGTTTTTAATTCGAATGTATATTTTTTTAATTTTATAAAATGTTGCTAAATAATCCCATTTGTTTGTTTTTTTATTGGATTAATCGAACCTAGGAGTCTCTGTTGCTCGTGCATTCGTCTGTTGGGAATTAATTAAGTAATAAATATGCATTAAGTAATCGTATTTCACCCGGGGATGGCCTAGCTTTCCAACAGTGATAGAAATTTACAAACCGGTTCAGTTGTTTCGGAGTCAATTGAATGCCAACGAACAAACAAACAAACAAACAATGAAATGTTTCCTCTTTGTATACAAGTTCACTTACAAATACGACAAATGACACTTTATATTATACAAAGTTACGAGTATAAATAATTTTATTGAATGAAAAATTTTCATGTTAATTAAAAATTGTAGAATTAATTGTTTTTTGTATTTATAGGCGTGTTTCTCCTAATCCTCCGTACGCGCCAACATTTCTGGAAATGGACCTGACAGAATCATCAAGTACAGAACAAGTAGACGTCAAACCATTCATTCATAATCAATGGTTTGCAATGAACTCACCTCCAACAGGTTTTAAAGAACCAAAAGTTGAACCATCATTACACGATGACAGTTCTAATTCTCAAGCATTCGGTCCTGACGAAACATCGTCATATTTTCAATTCTTTCGTGGTATTTATAATGATTATCAAGAACTTTCAACAAAAAAGCAAAGACTTTTTAAAAGACAATGTTTGAATTTCCTTCACGATTTACTTGACGAAGAGGAGGATCAACAAACTACTTATGATCAAAGTGATGCTGTTAATTTGTCATATTCAGGACACAGTGAGGAAGAAAGAGATACGAAAGAAAATGTTAGCTTCAGTATATTACCTTCTGTGTAACTATATGTTAAATAACTATAAATGGACTGGCTATACGATGCATAATTTTGTGCGTATTTGACTTTCGCCATATTGGCGATGATAGCGATTTGCAGCGGTGGATTTAAACTAATAATATAAACAAATTAATTGCCACGTAACAACAGGCCCGTTAAAATCGTAACTTAGTAAAATCAGTCATTTTTAAGCAATCGCAATTATTAAATTTGTTAAATGGATAGATAGACCCAGGCAACCTATAGTTGGAGTGTTTCATTCAAGTTTGACGTTTAATCGCTTGACGATTTCCGAAATGTCATTGTCGTGTGTCACGTGACGCAGTGCAGTGTACTTTTTACCCAATTTGGGTAAATGCAACTTAAAATTAAAAAAAATAATTAAACTGTTTGTTAAGACGTTAATGATTGATTATTTAATTATTGTAAGGGATAACGAGCACATTATTGTGTTTTGTTATTGTTTTTAATTTTTGTTTTAAAAATGTCACCAATCATTATACTATTAAAATTTACTAAAAAGAAAAGAATTATTGGATTTACTTTTTATCTAAATTACCTAACTTAAGTAACAATACTGGAGAAATTAACCACAAAAAGACCTTCTAATTTGCCTCACTTTTGTGCTCCGGATTAGGTGTCTATTTATATATCTATGGTTAAACGTTATTTTTAAAAGTTATGGTCATATTGATGTTTTTTAATTTTCTATTTGTTAATGTCAAACTTACTACCGAACTCAGAATCATTAAATGGCTAATAAGGTCACCGATTAATGTAAGATATATATGAAAAATCTACATAAATCGTCTTAAAATGTGGAAACACTGAGTAACCATTAAAATGAATGAAAAGATTATTTTCATGTGATGTTTAGAAGTTATTGATGTGTTTTTAGACATAATTGTAATAACAAATGTCAATACAGAGTAGAAAACGAGTCATTGTTAATTATAAGCTTACATTAAAATAGAAAACAAAATGGATAAACGTGTTTTTTTTACGTCAGAGCTGTTTTAAATATGGTAACCCTGAGATTTTTTTATGTATTTTAAAACAACAATCAAAACTAAGTTAATATTATTTCTTCTACATATATGCATAAAACAATTAAACAATACTTTATTCAGTCTATAAGGTCGTTTCAGTCTAGTCGTTAAAATAGCCTGCCTCAATTTCGCTCCAAGCTTTCGAACGTGTCCCTAAATATATTTCCGTGTTAGTGAAATTTTTCACTGCGAATTTTTGCATCGGCAATTTTAGAGGAACGTGCCTCGTGATAAATCTATCCCCTGACGAAATTTAGGTGGGGTTCCACGGGGGGTTTTAGATTGGTTAGGTTTTGTGTTTGTTTTTACGATGGGGAACATTGTAAAGCAAACGTGCGGTTTTTGAATTTGAATATATACTTAGATAGGTAATGAAAGGGTACTAATTTTTAATTAAAGGGTGCACTTCCCCCTTTTTAAATATACCTTTTTTCTATACTAATATTGTAGACTACACAAGTCATCTCATTGTCTAGATTTTAGCAAAATAATTTATAATTTTAATCATCCTTTGTTATCTTTTATTCTTTGTCTATATTTTTTATTGAATTTTACGTCTTCAATGTTAAAGATTTATTGCCTCGCACAGCCGCGTTGTGGAACTGTCTGTCCTCGGTGATATTTTCAAATCAATACGACTTAGGGACCTTTAAGTGCGAGCATACCATTTCCTTAAAGACCGGCAACGCATCTGCAGTTTCTCTGGTGTTGCAGATGTCCATGGGTGTCGTTGATCACCTCGGTGTTCCAGCTGCGTAACACAAAAGGTTAAGTAAAACAAAAATACAATGACATTTAAGAAAACTGCGGTAATGTTAAGAGATTTTTTTTAACCTTTGCTATTTTCTCAAGTGTAATAAACGATTTGAGGATGTCAGGAATAACATGTGAACATCTTATCCGACCAGTTATTTTACGGTCAGTAAAATTCTGCAAGGGTTCCCTAAGTGCTTGCCTAATTTTATCGCCACTTGTAATGTTCCTGGGGGGGTTTTACTAAATGTAATGATTGGTATAAGTTCGTCAAAGTAACGGAAACATTTTGACAACAAATATCGGGACGTTAATACTAATAATTAAAATTATATTAAACATATCGTCATCTCTTATCTTTATATATAAAAGAAAGTCGTGTTAGTTACACTATTTATAACTCAAGAACGGCTTTTCCGATATGGTTGAAAATTGGTGAGGAGGTAGCTTAGAACCATGAGACGGACATATTTATTCTTTTTTTCGAATTTATGCCTTGAAGAACTGCTTTTTATTTTACTTACTAATATTATAAATGCGAATATTTAGTTGAATGGATGGATGGGCTACACTAATTAAGTTTTTTATAAATCCACGTGGACGGAGTCGCGGGCGATAGCTAGTTTTTTGATAAAACAGAGTTAACTATATATTTTAAGCGGGGATTTTGGTCTCAGAAATCCACAGCCGTGGCAAAATTAGTGTTAAACATAGCGTAGGGAAGATTATAGGTAAAAAGCTGTATTGATATATTAAAAATTAAGTAATCTAGCCTATAAGTTAATATTTTAATATATTTTATCATTTTATTTTAGGAAAAAAAAATGCTTATATTCAATGAATAACCAACATTTGAATCGTGAGCCAAAAATTTATTCAAAAAGTAACGTTTTTTAAATTATTTTATACACATGTCAACAGTGAAGATTTCTGAGAAGTTTAATTAACATTTGCGACAAATTTGTGGATATGTTTTAGTTATTCATGGCCGTGGATGAGCGGGGGCGTCGGATGAATTTCATAATTATCACTAGATGTCGCCCGCGACACCGTCCGCGAATTAAAAAGAAACCTGATTAGTAGCCTATGTGTTCTTCCAGTATGCCAAATTTCATCATGATCCATTCAGCCGTTTTGGAGATATCTTCAAACAAACATACATATATCTAAACATTCGTATTTATAATATTAGTAATATTCAAAACAAATTGTGACACTAAAAGAATTTTGGCGCGCAAATCGCGCTTTTGGCAACTAAATACAAATAATTTTGACGTAAGAAATATCTTGGAAGGTTACACAAAAATGATTTCTTTAAACTAAAAATTTACGTATTATTTGCTCTGTTTGGATGCATTTAATACGTTGAGGCTCTTACTATAAAATAAGGATGAATCCACACGTAAGATAAATTTGTTCGAATTTGAGCAAGTACGGACGTGTTTATAGTAGGGCTAGCAGGATGCGGGCATTGCACAGCACACTGATGACCTTGGGCCGCTAAGATATTTGAAAAGAACTATACTACGCAAATCTCGTTACTAGTTCTGTTTGATGTAAAATAAAAGCTCCTTATTCGCTCTTCCTATATTCGCGGATGTAAGTTTCGACCCAATTCCCATATCGCGGCTTTTTGGAATTTATTTATGGAATAATCAACTTTTACTGTATAACTGTTCTTTATAGAAAACTAGCTGTCGCCCGCTTCTCCGTCCGCGCGGGATTAAAAATAGATGGCCGATTCTCAGACCTACTCAATATGCTCACAAAATTTCATCTGAATCGGTCAAGCCGTTTCGGAGGAGTATGGGAATGAAAATTGTGACTCGAGAATTTTATATATAAGATCAGGATTATATATTGTTGATTTAATGTCAAGATAAATATTGATTTTAGCATTAAATCTTCAAGTAAGGTTGTCATAAACAGTAAGGTAGCTGTTTACTTTGTCGTATCTATAGTGTAGGTTTATATTTGTTCACCATTTGCACACAGAGTTTCGGTAATGTTTGTACAGTGTAAGGCAAGGGAGCATTGATGTTTTGTTTGTTTGTATGTACATGTTAGGTAACATTGTATACTTAAGAAATGTATACTGTCAAAACCATAAACATATTTGTATTTCTACGTATTTAACAAGTTAGGAAGACACGATATATTGTTGTATTATTAGATTCTTTATCGGTATGAAATAACGACGTAATAAAAGTTAGCACTTCAAATTAAAACGTATATATTGCGGAGTAAAACCTGGAGAAAAATCTCCTATCGGCTAATTCCCTCGGCCGCGTTTAAATGTTCTTATAACTAAAATTATATGAAATAAACAACAAGATTTTCTACTAAAAAAAGGTTATGCACTGAATTAAAATCAGATAGATTTTAATTAACCGTAACGTATATGCGCAACAAACTTCAACAGCATTTAAAAGCGAGGGAGGCATAGAGAAAGGGGTGGGAAACACCTCCCATGTTGGAAATTCGCATGGCAACTGCTGTGGAGGCGACACAGCCAGTTGCAGCGTTTGCAGCCGCCCTGCTGGGGTGGGGATGGGGCGGAATGCAACCAGCGTGGAGGCGTCCAGCTTTCACACAAGGGCTGAACAGGCAAGCAGAGTAGTACAAAACAGTACTGCCACAACGCAGTGTGAGAACATTACAGTTTTGTTAGTAAGTGTGCGTTCAACAGCAGTACTGCATTTTTAACTGCTCTGACTTAATAGTCTGCCCTCATGTAAATAACGGGCGGCGCCTGGCAACAGCAAGGTGACACGAAGCCGCCGTTCCGAGCAGTATAGACTTTCTAAAAGTAGCTATGATTGTAGACATAACTATGAAATAGACAGACAAATGTATTTTTTTATAAGAGACGGGGCAAACGAGTAGCGGGAACACCAAGCTGCAATACCAGAGGAATCGCTGATGTGACAGACATAAAATAAAACTAAGTTACATTAAAATGTGTCACAAGATCCTTGTCCGATTAGTGTCAATCTTGTCATGTCTTCTGTTTTATTCTCTACGTCTATGTGTGGTCATTATAAGTAGCGTCACGCCTATACAAACTGTTAGGCAGAAAATCCGACACTGGCGCAGCACTAGCCTTATCAAAAAATATCGACGTTTATGCCCCCTTACTCCTGACACTTGACTTTGTACCGAAAGCGCGCCATTTGCGCCAAAGGATTCTAACTAATACTGTCTATAAATCAAAGTTATCAAAAGAAACGTTTGGTTGATAAATAAAATATTACAATACGAATGTTTGTAGGTTATATACGTAAAATGTTTATTGCATCGGGTCTCTGATATGACCGCGTGACGCACTGCTTCAGTGCAAATTAAACAATAATTAATTATATGCTACAGGGATATCTTTTATCCGATGTTTACGAGCGCTCTGTAAACCCGGCAGCACGTTAGTGATGCGACATTTCCTATATCGATATAATTATCGAATCGATTAGTAAGAAAAAGTATGAACTTCTATTAACACTAGTTAACCCAAAGAGCAGTCTTCGATATACCTCATTTCTTATTCTTGTCTCTATTGTCAATGTGCTGGCCTTACGTGTCAGGAAAATTCCGTTAATAGTATTTGGTTATATTAAGTAGCTG